AGTATTGTTTGGGGTTTGATGGGGGGTGGAAGTGATGGGAGTAAAATGCAAGAGAGACATTTTCTAGTTCTGATTTTAGTCAATTCCTTCTAAGAAAAACTCTAGGCAGGTCCCAAAAGGTGTCATAAACCCCTGTGTTTTGTGCATTGGGCTGGCTACTCTCCTGGGTACCTGTTTGTGTGGATAAAAAATGGTTCCTGAAAACCTGCAGGACAAAGAGAAGAAGAGCAGAGCCTGGCACAGCCTGCAGGGACCTGTCAGACCCACAAAAGCTGATGCCCAGAAATGTGGGGAACAAAGGAGACCCTCACAGGGGCACCAGTCCCACCCTCAGCTCTGGATGGAACACCTGGATGTGGCCCCCTCACTGTCCCTCCACTCATGAGCTGCTCATGCATCCAGAACAGGAATGTGCAGTGTGAGAAGCTGTTTGCTTTTACTAATGGAATCAAATTTTTAGTGTTAACAACCACTTGGTTAATAAATGGTGTTCTAAATAAATATAAAAGATATTCTAATAAATATCAGTTGTAAAGAGAATTTGTGGCACACCCTTAAATTCCAACCAGAAGATTGTTTTTCAGTCAGGTGGGGTTTTTTTCCTAAATTTGGTGATAGCAATTTAGTTTAACAGCAATGGAGAAAAAAAAAAATCCTACCAAGCCAAAGCTTATGTCTCAAAGCATTTATTGTTTATTTAACAACAGCAGTGAGGTTTCTGCCCAGTAAATGAACACAAGTGTGAGCAGAACATACAGGACAAGACACGTTTACAGAAACTTGTGACTGAAAGCAGGGAGAACACCTACCCAACACACTTCAGCTTTGTGTGATATAAATATAATGTGCTTATAATATGCATTTGAAAGCATGAAGGGAAAGGATATGCAAGGGCCATTTAAATTATCTCCAGCTTCAGGTTTTTAAAAAGCATGGAATGTACAGTTTAGTACCAGCAAAAATACACAGAAAAATAATTTTTTTTTGAAGTTGTGCAACATGTGTTTTCTCCAGGAGGAGAACTTACATGGGACACAGGATCTGTTTGAAAAAAGGCTTGGTAAACTGAGAAACAGGAAACCTGGAAAAGCTTAGGCATGCATTTTACTGTCAAATTTTCTGTCCCTGTTCCCTCCCCCTTAAGCTTTTAGAAGTTGTAAACAATTTTGGTGTAAACATTTTGGAAATGCCAATTCCATCTACCTACCTTTTAATGATCTTCTGGTTCATTTAAAAAAACAGTGGCATACAGAACCTAGAAAATTGGCACAAGCTAGCAAACCTAGAATGAGAACCACCAACCCAGCTGTAGCCTGGGACAAAATTATTTTTAATCCCTTTGCCACTCCTCCCCACTTTTACTGCTGTTACACCCCTCTCCTCCACCAGGTTACCCCCACGATGGAATCATTTAGAGGGATTATACAGATTACAAATTAATTCCTCGTTAAATATCAGCTACGTTTGGTGAGCTGCTAACATTTGTTTGACAGAAAATATTCTGCCACTTCAGCTTTCATGTGCTGGATATCAATTATGCAGACAAAATTCTTCTCTCTTTTGGACATACCTGAAGGATGAGGGACTCTTTATCACCTTCTAATCGTGCCAGCCTTTCTTGATAAGTTTCATTATTGGATGAATGATGGTTCACCTGTGACTTGGAGGGGAAAAAAAAGTGCTGTGAGAATTTTTGCAGTTAAAGTTTCAAGCAACAATTAAGAAAAGTTTTGTATATTAAGCAGTTCTTACAAGACAAAAAATATGAAAAAATGTGTGTATAGATCAGAACTGTTTATTTCATGTGTATTAAGCCTGTAATGTACATTAAAAAATAATGTACATTAAGAATCTACCCTTTTTAAGCTGTATTCTGAATACTCTCTCATTTACAGCATTCAAAAGTGGTAAATGAATATGACTGATATTTTCTAGAAAGTTGTAATTTCAATGGAGAATACCATCTTATTGAAACAAAACCCATTTAATTTGAAATATCTATTCTCCACAGTAATGAATCTTGTATTTATTGTCAAGTGGTAAAAATTGCTATAGGTGTATTATTCCTAGAAAATTACTGAAAGAAAATTACAAGTTTTTTGTTGGCAACTAAAAATTTATTTAAAGGATCAAATTCTTATCAGGAGCTACTTTAGCCACCCAATTACTCAGGGACTTCTAAAAGGCTCTAGGGAGCAAAACCTTTTAAAATATCGCCTGTCCTTAACTCTTATACCTCATTTCCTATGAATTTTATTACTTCACATAGAAAAGCCACCATTAAAAAAAAGTATACGTGGGTTTCTTTAAGTTTAGAAGAGTCTCCTCTGTTCAGCCTGCAACACTGTGGGAAAGGAGCTGCTTGCTCAGAGCATCAAAAGTAACCTGAGCCCCCAGAGGATGATTTCCCAGCTCCACTGCAGGCACTGCATTTCTGCCAGGGAACACAACCCTCAGCCGGGATTTTCAGCTCACACAGGAATCCAAGGAGCTCCCCTCCACTGCAGCTGACTGCTCATTTATAGTTACTTGCACAATGGCACCAATACAATTATAATCCTCCTCCCCAGATGCCTTTTCTTTTCAACTCAACATTTGTGAACAGATTTTTTTTTTAAATTAAATATATTTATAGCTTCTTAATCTATACTGAGGCCAACTGGCCCAAACCTAAAACAAAAGCTGAAAATAAACATGGTGCTAGTTAACTCAAATCAAGAAACCAAATTTTTATCCTATCAAAA